CTTCATGTTAGGTGTCAGTTTTGATCAATTGGTAACAGCCTCTTGGAGCACTGCATAAGGGCAACTTGAATTCCTTGTGAAAGAAAGTGCCAAAAGCTATTTGATGGCAAACAGGCACCAGAGAAGAGAAGGAACAAACTGCCCGCGGAATGGCCAGCTTTCTTCCAGGCCTCTATTTCTACTCAACTAGATCGTGCATCCATCAACATCTGTCCTTGTCACCTCTTTCAAAGTTCATGTTCAGTTTTATCCTTAATCACTCTATTCCCCAATTTGTAATGTTTACAATCCAAAATAGCCAATATGGTATTTGAGATTGAATGTAGCAATGGAAAATAAACAACGATGTACAAATGAATGGTCCTTGAAGACTGGGCAGAAGGGATGGAAAGCAAGAGGGCAAAAGAAGTCCTGAGTGCAGAGTAAAGGATGAAAATGAAGTGGAATCACTTGGTCCAGAGTTAGTGAAACAGAAAAGCCAAGTTCAGTTTAGAAAGGTCTGGAGTTTCAAAATGGGCACTGGGAATGTCTCAATAAGAAAGACAGATATACTCAAACATGTCAGGGCATAACTCATGGTTTCCAATGCAGTCATTTCTGTGCATCAAAATGAGCAGAATGTTAATTCAAATGACTTTCATCTAGAAATATGAAGATGACTCAATATTAGCAATAACTACCCATTCCGAATAGTTTTCTTGATAGATATGGAAAATCTCTTGATAAAATTCATTTTTAAAAGTCCACATAAATGAAGAGCAGAAGAAAAAGTTTAAGCATGAAGAGCATAGATACGCATCATATTAAATGGTGAAACACTGAAAGGTGTGACATTAAACTCAAATGCAATTCAGAAATATGTACTATTTATACCACTTTAAACAGAGTTTTTGAAGATAGCAGGGTAAAATTTTAAAATAAGTGATTAAGTGTGAGAAAGTAAGTGTTGAACAGGGACTATATGCAAGTAATATGATTTTTATACGCAGAAAACCCAAAATATGACTTGCAAAATGGTAGCAGATAAAGTCACTCTACAAAATAATATTTGTCCATTATATGATATATAACTTGATCAAATTTAATATGGAAAAATTATTCAATTTACAAGAGACATGAAACCCATGAAATACCTAAGAATAAAATCAGTTACAGAGGGACAGGTCCTACATAAAGAAAATAATACCATTTTATTGAAGGTCATAAAACAGGGCCTAAGAAATAGAAAATTACATTTCCTTTAGCGATTAAGGTTTGATATCATAAAATTATAACTCCTTCCGATATTACCATAGAAGCTCAGTGCAGCTTAGATGAGAATCTTAGTGGGTACTAAATTTGAAAAATAATTATAGATAAGCTTTTCAGTCTTTTCTATATGCCAGGTGGTATTGTAGCATCCCATGTGTATTGAGGGTTACAATCACCTAAGATAATATTATTAATATACTCCCATTACATAAATTAGAAGTCAGAAAACTGAAAGTTAGATTAAGTGATTTCTCAACATTATGCAAGTAATAAGGGCAGAATCAGGGCTCAACCCTGGATGTTTGGGCCAGCAAATAAGAAAAAAAGTAGAAATGTGAAATGAATCTATCATAAAGGGATATGGTACATTTAGTAAGTGGTACTATAATACTAGTTACCCATCCTAATAATGATCAAGAAAATACACTTAAATTCCTATTTAAGGAGCATATTTAAAATATATTTCTGAGCTGAGATATAGCTCACTGGTAGAGGACTTGTCCAGAACACATGGGATTCTGAGTTCAATCTGCAGTACAAAATCTATAGCTGTATCTATATCATCTCTATCTCTATACACATATTTAAAATGACTTAAAGACATCTAAAAATGAAAATTACAATAATATTTTAAATATAAGAAGCTAATTATGCTTTCTCACAATGCATGAAATATTTTAGGCAGGATAAGATATGCAGAATTTATAAAAAGAAAAAATCCAACCTCAACAGTTACTATATAGCCACATCATATCATGTACAAGATCAAAGACAGAACATACACTAGGAGACAATATTTGTAATATATTTGATAGAAAAATTGTTCCTCATGCCATTTTTAAAGAGACAACATAGTAGAAAATTGAGCAAAGAATATTAATGAGAAATTTGTAGAAGAGAAATAAGTATAGGCAATAAATATAATCCCAGGTAGAGTTAAGTGTGAACTAGGTATTAAGTTGTAAAAGCAGAAGTGGACACTTTAGTGTAGTTAAAATTACCTTTGAAAATTCCTTAACCTGCACATAAAGTATTATATATATTTGAAAATGCAAAACCAAGCAATCTGTAAGTTATGTATACTGAACTCCAAGAAGCACTGGATAGGGTAACAAAGAGCACCAAAGCTACAGATGTCTGAGTACTGAAACTTTTCTGCCTTTAAGTCACCATCAAAACACTAGAGGAGGAAGCAGGGTGGGTAGAGAATTGCCTTTCTATAGTTCAAATTCCACTTTTAAAAAAATAGTAAACCTATCAAAGCTTAATATATATTAATAGATGTTTTTATTGGGAAACTGTCTGATGAAAGGCTTAGAACACATTTATAAACCAATAAGAGTTTGTTGAATCTGAATTTAAATCTTGCTTATTCATTAGACCCACATAAAGCTGTTGTTTGAAAAGTTGTTAAGATCTTGGTTTGTGTCTCCCGTCTCCAGGTTGATGTTTCTGCATGGCCCCATAACAGATATCATTCTCTTGTCCTTTTTTACTGCTTTTAAGTCACTTTACGTAGTTTTGGGCATGCATGTGGTAATAGGTTTTTCCCACAAAAATTGAACAAAATAGAAAAATTAGTATCAAAAAATTAGAAAACTTAGCAATGTCCTATGCTGACTAGGGTAGGGGAAATAGAACTCTTGTTCTATTTGATCAGTGTGGGAACCAAAGTTTTCATCTCATAAGAAAAATAAAATCATCAGTCTACTTGGCAGTAAACCTTGAAACTAAGCAAGTGTTCATTAATAGGAAAGTAATTGCAGACATAATGATATTACTATTCCAGGGAAGATAATGTGCCTAAAACAAAAGTAGTTATAGAAAAAAAAGGTGAGAGAATAGAGCAAAATTAGTCTAATGGTGTAGACTTTCAATTAGAAGATTTAGATGGGTAAGTTCAGGGAACCCAGTGTATCGGGTAGTAACTAGGTAGCATGTAACAATACTGAATTGTATATTTTAAAGTTGCTTAGGTGTTCTTCCCACAAATTAAAAAAAAAACAAAAACAAAAAGGCATCATCTTGAAGTAAAAGGTATGTTAATTTAATTATGATGATCACTTTACAAAATGTATGTATATCAAATCAGTACTTTTTCTTCCATAAAATCATACTATTGTGTCAATTATACCTCAGTGGAGTGGAAATTTTTAACAAGAGAGAAGTAGGTGTATGTGTCGGGTAGAAAGACTGCCATATTTTTCTTAAATTAAATAATTTAATAATAACTAATATTGATATTAGCTTTGTTAAAACCAAATACTAACCCAACCCCAGGACATATGTACAAACATGTATGCATGTGTGTTTGTGTGATACTTTCTAAAGTGTGAAAGAAAAGAGCCCAAACTGCTTTAATTGTGAACTTCAAGGAGCAGAGTCATGGGACTCAATTTCACTTTTCACTCCCCTGTGATTTTGAGGCCTGATGCAAATCAGTGGTAATAAGAACTAAAAGAAAGAAAGAAAACTGGGAGATGTAACACAGAAATGGATGGGACTTGACAACTATTTGGATGTGTGTGGGAGGGAAATGAAGTCAAAGATGGCTCAGCAGTATCTAGCCTGGGTGACTGGGAGAGGGTGCTGCCATTTATAGAAACAAGGACAGTGTGAGGAGGAAAGTGAACTTTTATTGTTACCCAAGGAGAGGTGATGAGTTCAGGTTATCAATCCAAGTTGTGCTGCTGCTTCTTGTTTTAAATAATGATGTATCTACAAACAAAGCTGCTTATCTTGGTCTTAAAACCTCAAATAATATGAGAATTTATGTTAATTTTATCTTGAGAAAGAGTTTTTAAAGGAATATTGCTTTTTAAATGTATTTATTTTACATTTTAAAACTAACAGTCATAATATTTTCTATTGTTTTACCTTATCCATGCATATTTTAAAACAAGAGAACATTTCTTTTTGGATCAGAAAGTATTATTGCAGGAATTTAAAATAAAAAAAGAAAGAAAAATAACTTTGTCTACTGCATCCCAAGTGGCAGATACTATCCAATATGACCTATACATTTTTTATTGAATGTTTCTTTTATGCTCTTTTAATATAGTTATTCCTTTGCAAGTGCCTTTGTAACTAAGTACCTACTAGCTTATTAAAAGCATATTGTTAAAAATATTTTAGATAGGCAGCTTTGCAGATTTTTTAAAAATAGAAATAGCTTGTGAACTTTTATTGCATACAAATCAGCATTAGATATTTAGCCCCACTGAGAATTTATTTTTTGCAAACACTGCAAGAATTCTGGAAAAATTTATTTCTATGCAATTGTGATATTTTATGTTGGGGGTAAACTAGAAGTATGTAATTTGTCAGTATGAGATCTTTTGCATAGATAAATGAGCCACCAAAGTCACCTGAATAAATCATTTTAATCTTAATTTTCAGTTCTATGGACGTGAACTTCTCTTGCATACCTTTAATTTGCATTCATCATTGATTGTATTTTTATTTTAGACACTATTCTTATGATAATCTTTCTTCCTAGGAAATGTTTTTCACATTTGTTATTTCTAACCTGAGTTGAAAAAGGCCATGCTTCTTTCTTTGGAGTCTGAAGATTCCATGAATTCCAGAACTATCAGAAAACTGGGTATTTGTGACATTATGTAAAATCACAAGGTGATTTATTTCATCAACTAATTCTTATAATCTAGTTAAAGCTACATAAGGTTCTCACTGGAGGACATGGAACATAAATAATAAATGTAATATTTTGTAAATTTCTTGTTTTCCAGAAAATACACACCATTGGAACGAGTAATGCAAATGTCCCTTTGGCGGATCCCGGAATGTACCAGCTGGACATTACATTAAAAAGGGGTCAAAGTTTAGCTGCTCGAGATCGAGGAGGTAACAACATAAGAACGATATCACTTAGCAGCTTGTTCAATGTGTTTGTGAGGAACTTTGCATTCTGATTGCTTGAGTTTGAAAAGTTAACTATAATATTCTAGTTGTTAGAATCTGGCTGTGAAGATGCAGTTTAATATATTACTTGACTTCTTTGACTCTGCAAGTTTCAACACTCTGACCCACCTGACACAGGTGGCAACGTTCCTACCAAAGTGTTGACAAATTATTCTATGTATATAATTAGAGACATAATTGGCTACATGGTTAAGACATATATTAGAAGTCAGGTCAGAGGTTACTTTCTTGTAGACCAAGATTCTTTTCGCTGCATAGATTTGCTCAGTTAAATGTATTGAAACTGTAGAACCCAGGATTAATATCTCAAAAAAGCTTTAGAGCTTTTTTGATTGTGATTATTTGCGGCTTGGTTGGACCTGTCAGGAGCCTCATAGTGGATTGAAAGTTCTTTACAAGGATAAAGAATAAAACAGAACAAATACTCTTTAGTTTTCAGGTGCCAAGTCCTAGCACAGTTTCCTGATGAGCTAGGTACATGAGGGATTCCTTAAACCAAGGAAGAGGCAAGATCATGGATTGTAAAGTAGCTTACAAATATGCAGGAGGTAGAGGGTCCTCAAACTCCCCAGTTCCATAGGAAGTTGAGTTTTGGGTGCAATATTCCTTCCAAGAAGACTGTACTAGTGTATTGTCAGACCTCCCGGAGAGGGGCTGGCAGCCTTTGATCCTGTTTTTCTCCTCCCATCCTGTTTGACATCCATCCTTGAGGAGTAGAAGGGGCCAGGGTAGGACTGTAGTCTATAATTTTCATCTTTAACCCTAAAGGAATAAAATAACTTAATATAACTGTGAATTTTATGACTAGAAATAACAACTAATATGTTCAATTTTAAAATAAAATATCCAAACTCTCTTATTGAAGGAAGATGTAACTGAAAATGTTTGTATTGGGCTGGGGATTTAGTTCAGCGGCATAAGCACCTGTTTTGCAAGCGGGTGGTCATGAGTTCGATCCCCGTACCAATAAAAAGAAAAAGAAAAAGAAAGTGAAGAAAATGTTTGCATTTAAATATATAAAGGAAGATTTCAAAGCTGAACATTTGGTCTAGGAGCTAGGGAGAAATTATTGAATTGAGCTGTCTCTAAAGAAGGTAAAATTAGACTATAGACAGAAAATAATGCTGATGAAATAATATTGGTATTACTTGATATAACTTGTTTTAGTTTTCAGTGTACTCTCTGTTATATCATTTGGTTGAAAACAGACTTAAACCAGAAAACTGGAGATCAAAACTATCCTCTCACATTTTCTCTCAATAACTTATTTTTCTGTTTTGGTACCAGGGATCAAACTCATGACCTAGTGCTTGGCAGGTAGGTGCTTATGTCACTGAGCTAAATCCCTGGCCCTCTTTCAATAATTTTAAGATATACACACCCAGATTTTAGTAGCATTATTTATAATTATAAAATACTAGAAATAATACCCACATTAGAGGAGTAAATAAACTATGATTTATTTACATGAGGGGGCACTATGCAGCTGTAAAAAAGATAAAGATTATCTCTAGAACTGATGTGGAAAACCTTACAAGTTATTGCTAAGTTCACTTAAGTAAAGTTTTAAAAAACTTATTATGTACTCATTCCTACAAAAATGAAACAGGGGAAGCAAAGATCAGACACCGAGAGAGTAATACACAGAACGCAGGTGAGAACAAGTGACAAGAAAGGAAAACGAGCTAATAGAGTAACAGCGAGTAGCATTTCTCCGGAGTGTTCCTCTTCTCCTAAAGTTCTATGGCAGAATTTCAGCATTCCAAATTAACTCGTTAATTGAAATCAATCAAGATGTGGGAGGAACTAAAAATGAATTATAACAATAACCACACCTTGGGGAGATAGAAAATAGAGCTATTCTGAGTAACTGTAAAACAGTATTGGATTGTCTGGCATAAAACTCAAGATAAATGGAACAGCATATAAATGTAGCACTCTGGAGCATGATGATAAATCCTGAAACTAATGCATATTCTAGGAACTAGTAAATAAGTAAATATATTGTAGATAAGGAGATCTGGGTTTCTTACTGATAGGGGAAGAAATTACAAATACAGAAAAGAGGGACCCCAGAATAAGCCCTGTGGTATTAAATAGGTACTGACATGAAGTAATAAATTTTAATATGTACTCAGATAGAAACACAGATAGATAATGGTAGGAATCTTTCTTTTTCTCTCCTCTCCCCGTCTCCCTATCGCTTTCCTATCCTCCCTGCCTCCCTCTGTGTGTGTGTTTCCTGCCTCAATCGGTTGATCTGCTGAGAAAGCCTAGAAACTGACAAAAGTTTAATGACAAATTAAACATCAGCACACCTAAAGGGCAGGCATTTCTTTCTAATGTGATTTTCCTGATACAAATGATCAGAGCTCCTGGAGGAATGGTTGATTGCAGACCTGGGGCAAAGAAAGTACAAGATGAGCCTGGAACATTTTGCATTGCCAAAAGGTAAAAAAATGCTCAAAGATTGGTGGCAGAATATCAAAAGAGTATAGGTTCCAAACTCCAGTGATCAAAGCTGGGACAATTTCCATAACAAAATAACTAATGGCTTATTACTTATTATTACTTATTGTAATAAGTAATGTACTTATTACAAAATAAGTACTATAAGAAATAAAATAGCTCTCTATGATTTCATGCTGAAAAACAATTGAATAAATGAATAGGTAGGAGAGAAAGTCATGGTGAAATTCTAAAATGAAAATGTGGAAGGGAATATGCAAATCAAAACACACCTTTTAACAAAAACCATGGTTATAAATACTGTAGAGAAAAATAATCAGTGGATGTGAAAATTTACACTGTGAAACAGAATACTTAGAGCATTTGAACACATTTCTCTGTAAGATGTGCATAACTTTCTAATGGAAAAACAGTAAAAGTAGCTTGAAGAAACATGGAGAACACCACCTTAATCAGGTGATCAAAGATAACATGCTAAGGAATCAGTTTTCCCATTGCTAGAGCAAAATACCTGACTCCTGCAACTTGGAGGAGTTGAGATTTATTTTGGTTCATGGTTTCAGTGAGTGCAGTATGATTGTCTGACTAGGCAAAAATGGCATGATACAAGTGTGTAGTGGAGGAAAGCTGATCACATCATGGTGACCAAAAACCAAAGAAAGTAGGAGTCAAGTTTGATAATATGCACTTCCAGGCTATGACTCCAGTGCCTTCTTGTTCTGACCAGGCCCCACTCCAAAGAGGCTGTGAACTCATCGGTGAACTAACTCCAAGATGAGTACAGTGCCCCCAAGTGCCATCATTTCCTAACACTCCACCTCTACACAAAACTTAGGGGAATATTTTAGGTCTAGACCATAATGTATGCAGGCATCACAAATCTCCTAATAAGCTGCATCAAGAACCACACATTATTTGTATACTATTTTTGTGAAATGCCTAAGTTCACCTTAGTCATAAGAAGACATCTAATTAAATCTGTCATCATATGACAACATTCAACTGAGTGGAGTAACCTTACCTTTTGGACACTGCACAATTCTTTTTATCCCTTTCCTGTTCCCATTCCCATTTTTCAATATTGAGTTTGGATCTCATTTTGTGTATCACTGTCTTTCTTATAGTAGTAACATTCCCTATGGACAGCTGTGCAAAAGATTATGAAATAAGTGTCAGTACAATAAGAGATATGTACTTAAGGAACAGGGGGAGAAAATATTTCTATGTGGAAATGAAGACTATACCAAAGTGTTTGAAATGCCAACTCCAATCCAGCCTTACTGGCTTGCTTAACTGTTCTATTTATGGAAATTTTGTTGTGTAAAATTGAGTTATTTAAATGGAGGAGGCAACTTGAGTTAAATTTGTGAGTGATTAAATATTTAAAAACAGAAGTTTGAAGCATTGTATAGATAGCAATGGCAATTTGATATTTGTTAATTTGTATGTAAATAATTTGGCTGGGTAATTAGATAGGGAGGGGTTAAGGTAAAATTAGGAAGCACTGAGTTTGTATGAGAAATATACAAAAGAAAGTCCAGGGGAATGTCACGGAGGGCTTGGGGTCATTTGAAAGAGGAGGCTGAATAAAAACCATTGAAGTTATACAGCTGATGATCCCAGGGAGCCATGTAGATCTTGGAAAATAACAATGTGTACATGAACTCACTGTGTAATTACTACAATCAATAGGAATTGCAGTTATTATCTTTTTACATCAATACCCTCACCTACTACCCAACAAGACCAAAATGTCCAGGTCCCCTATGTCTACTGTTACATTTGCACAGAATAGTAGAAGGGAAAATCTTCTTGAAGATTTTCCACTAGAACATTTGAATGTTTTTTTCCAGAATTCTTCGTATGTGATAGGCACTGAGGCAGACTTGCCTGGCACAACTGGGTATCGTTCTTCCATTTTTATGATGTTTTCCAGAGTTTGTGGCTTCTGGAAGTATGACTACCTTTTCCTGAGTTTTACTATCTCCCTTTTAAGTTGCATGATGACCTATAAAGTACGTGATCTTAGGAGTCTGATACATAAATTCAATCCAAGTTCCTCATATTATCAGCTGTCTTTGAGAGAGATTGCAGTCTCTCTGCTCTAACTGTAGATTCCAGCTTTATTAAACAAAGTGAGATGCTAGTGAAATTTGGAATTCAGATAAATAATTCACTATCTTTTATATATGTATAAAGGTGTCTCAGATAATATCTGGGGCATACCTATAATAAAAATTATTTACTGCTTATCTGAAATTTGATTGAATGTCATTTTATCTGGCCACCCTGTACAACTGTCATCTTTAGTAATTATTAGAAAAATAACTTTTATGTTCTAATTAAGTTGGACTTGTCAAGATATTATCTCTTTTTGCAGAGACATCTATATCATCTTTTGGATTTTGAATGTAATGTTCTAACATAGTAATTTGTATTGTGAGAAAAATAAG